CTGCATTATGGTGTCATTGCAGGTAGATGTGTGTGTGTGTGTGTGTGTGTGTGTGTGTAAGTGTAAGAGACAGGAGATAAAGAAAACAGACTGTAGAGTCATTTGGAAGATGGAGCAGTTGTTATCACTGCACAAGTGTATATCTTTGTCCCAACCCTAGTTCTGAGACCAAAAGTGAAGTGAGGGGAAAGAATATGTCAGAAAATATGGTCTGATTAGTAGGATAGACAGTGTTTTACAGGTGAATTTTGCTTGTATCTTGGGAGTCCAGGGGAGGGAAAGAGACAAAAATTGTTTAAGTTGATGCCTACATGAATTTCCCCAAACTAATCAACAAGCCGTTGATATTCTCTCTCACAGAAAATTGGCTATTTTGCTAGTCAGTGAACTTGAAAGGGGAGTTGTTTTAAAAAGTCCAACCCTGGAGTCCAAAGGAGAAATTGCATTTTGAGTTGACAGTGACAGACTGTAAGGGAGGGCAAAACTTTGTTTATACATTCCATGAAGTAATGGAAGGGCAGGCATAGTTTCATACTGATTTTTCTCATATGTTCTTTCCAGAGCCAAAACTTCTGTTAGCTTGCTGTATTTGGCCATAGATTTCTGTCAACCAGCTAAAGCTGAATCAAAAAGAAATTCTCATTTCCCAAATCTTGTATGAATATAAATAAATAAAGGGATAGGGTGGAAGTATTGCTAAATGTATTTTTTCCTCCTTACATTTTGCTAGCTAGCCATGATAGTTTTAAAATTTGAAGGGCATGATTAACTTCTGTAGCACAAGCCACCCTGTTCTATATTTCACATGTGGAACAAAATTGATGCTGAGGGGCAAGTCATGTTATTTGAATTTATATGGTTGTAAAATGAAATGTTGATGGCTGTTCCTAATTCTCATAATGAGTAAGTGTGCAAAGCAGACAAAATTGAGCACTACCGGATGCAACAGGAAAGAATTAAATCCTATGCTGAATTATCCCTTTGCAACCAATGGGACTTGAGTAATTGGCTCGAGCAAACAGAAACCAAACACAGCAACTTCTTCATTGCTCTTACTAAGTAGAAAAGTTAAAAATGTTCACCTATTCCTGAAAAATACACTAAGATCTTGCTGCTATCCCTGCAGTTGCTTCTATGCACAGGTTTTCATCCACACAGAATCATAGAATTGTAGAATTGGACAGGAGGAAGTCTGTTCCACTGTCAAGCAGCTCTTTGATTTGCCCTGGTGTAATATTTTAAACCATAGTGAGTCACAGACTTCCTCAGAGTTTTTGTGCCATATTCATGTTGTCTGCAAATGCTGGGCAGGCCAGAGGCCTGGGCAGGCTGGGGCATCCTCCTATATACCTGCTGGGATTGACAAGGCATCTGACCCTCACCTGAATCTCATAGCTCTCCTGACGAGCGCTTTGGTCTGCCCACCAGATACCAGGCACTCTACTATTCTAATTAGATATTTTGTTGTCATTTGCAACTGTAGCTGCCTCTGATTAGTTATCATTTAACTCTTGGGGGAAATAATTAGAATCACATGTCATGTGCATGGAAGTTGCCGAACCAATTAACCAACTAGAAGGATTACTGTTAATAGCACCAGTTTTCCTATAACTTGATACTGCTGGATAGTTTTGAGAAACTGCAAAAGCATTTTTAGTTTGCTTTCTGTTGCCACCCTGGAACTTTTCTTTATTAGTGCCACTTTGTGTTGTACTATTCCTTGCAAATGAAGGAAAACAACTTTTCTGCTTGTATATGTTGATAATATAATTTTGGCTACCGAGGACAAACAAGATTATACAAAAACAAGATTGGGTAAAGGCCTGGCCAAGACATAGGTGTCCTGACTGTGACGAAGGTGACCTGTGTGCTTGCTTCCTTGATTATCAGCTGTTGGGAACTTCAAGGTCCCTGCTTTCCCTTCTTATGGTCTGTAAAATGAAGCACGAGAGGTGGAGGGAGTGCCAATTTTTGGTGTTGTATAGGGTGCCACAGAAATGTGAGAGCCCAGTTTCTGCCACTGACCCAGGAGTATCCTGGTAAAAACTGGCACTCACATCTTTTGCGACGTTACAAAGCATCAGTCCTCTCTAGCGGATGTGTGCTGAGTCTAACTGAGACCGAGACCCTTCTGTGTCTGAATTCACATCAGTCTTTGAAAGTATAGCTTTTGAAATGTTCTGGGTTGAAAGGTTGGAAAGTCTGCTCACATTAGCCCAAGTTCACGTTGAATATTCTAGGTGTGCTGTGTGAAGGTGTTTTGTACCCAAGACCTGCTCCCACACCTTGTTGATAGTATAACCTCCAAGGCCGCTTGTGTATGAATCAGCCCTGAATCATACACTGCTTCTGACTGAAACAGAGCAGTGTACATAATGCATCTATTAATTGCTTATTAAATAAAAAATAAAATCACAACAAGGCGAACACAATCACTATATTATGACAAGCAGTTGCAGAATAAATGCAGCATTTGTTGTGAACACATTCATTCTGTAGCACACCCTGGGGTCTTATGGTAAACGGTGGGTGTTAATTATAATGATAACGTTCAAATATTTGCACCACTTTTCTTCCTCCTCTGCTAAAACACTTCTATTTAATGTCATTAAACAGCTGTGGCAACTCACATGGGTTTTGCCAGTGACACCATGGCATGCCACATGGACTCCCACAATCAATGGAATTAAACAGAAATGAAACTGAAAGTGTTTGGGGGCACAGATGTGGAAAGTTGGGACAAGCAACAATAGCAGTCACCAGCCAATGAGCAGCGGGCAACTATAGCATGCTAAGTGTTCGGCAAGATGAGAAGAGCTCCCTCCCCCCCATTGTCTGTTGTACTTAATTATTATTTCTTTAATGTATTCATACCACAAATTGAAATTAAGATGGAAAAAAAAAACCTGTGAAGCCCTATTCTCAATTAAAGATCTAAAATTGGCTCTGGATCCCAGCTTAAAAATGAAAATTGGTTTGTACTGGCCATGCTTAAAGGCAAGAGGAATTCACATGTGAGAAGAGAAAAGGGGGCACAGAGGCCTTTACTGTCGAGGGGTTAGATGTATGAAGTCTGCATAGATTTCTGATCTGAATCTCCACTTCAGCGCTTGATGATTGGCTGTCAGTATTTCCTCAGTGCGTGGAGAAAACTGAGAGAATATAGGTGATCATTTTCCTGACTCTGAATACGATGTTTTATTCAGTTTACCCGGGGGCTAAATTGCATGGCCCATAGATGTGTGCTTATTTTCAATTCAGACTGATGTGTTATATCAGCCCAGATTTTGGTTTTGTTGTGCGCTGCTGAAAGCGTTGTCAGAGTATTCTATTATGGGCAAAAACTCCAACCACGCCAGAATGGATTGATGAATGCCTGCTAAATCATATTTTATGCCTGGTCGAGTGTGCAGATGACCACTGTGCCATAAGCCCATCAGAATCTGGGTTTGAAAGGTAGGAATTTAGTACCCACCCACATGCCTGTATGTTGTGTGAGGCAGCCTTCAGCAGTTCCGCAAAGTTTAGATGCAACAGCAGGGATAGAAAAATAAGCTTTAGAATATTGATAATGTAGCAATGGCAGCCCCTCCAATTGTCCCTATTTTCCAGGGACAGTCCTGGATTTACAGAAGCCATCCCAGTTTCAGATTTGATACTGGAATGTCCAGCTTTTCCTTAGGATATCCCTATTTTCATTGGCGAATTGTTGGACGGTGTGGAGTTAAGCCATAAGTAACTATACGACCTTTAGAAGGCATCTGAAGGCAGCTCTGTATAGGGAAGTTGCTTAATGTTTAATGTTTTATTATGTTTTTATATATGTTGGAAGCCACCCAGAGTGGGTGCTGATGAGTTATAAATGCTCACTGTGCCACCAGCCAGATGGGCGGGGTAACAACAACAACAACAGTAGTAGAACATTATTATTTTCATGTTGGAGGGTATCATAGCTTCCTGAGAGAGGTCGCAATCCAGCCAGTCATGGCCTGCCTATTGTGTGTTACATCCCCTGATGGACAAATGCACATTCCGATGCAAATTACCCGTTGTTATTGTCCATGGAGTTCTCTTGGCAGGGATACTGGAGTGGATTGCTGGTTCCTTCTCCAGGTGGATGTATGGAAGTGAGAGCTGGACCATAAAGAAGGCTGATCACTGAAGAATTGATGCTTTTGAATTATGGTGCTGGAGGAGACTCTTGAGAGTCCCGTGGACTGCAAGAAGATCAAACCTATCCATTCTGAAGGAAATCAGCCCTGAATGCTCACTGGAAGGACAGATCCTGAAGCTGAGGCTCCGATATTTGGCCACCCCATGAGAAGAGAAGACTCCCTGGAAAAACCCCTGATGGTTGGAAAGTGTTGTCAAATCTAACATGAATTTGACCAAACTGCAGGAGGCAGTGGAAGACAGGGTATGCTCTGGTCCATGGGGTCACAAAGAGTCGGACACGAATAAACGACTAAACAACAACAACAACAATGCAAATTGCAGGTCATATACTGAATTGCAGGTCAGTGGGGCCTGGGTGACTTTAGAACACAGATTGGGATGTGAATCTGCATTGGCTATATAGTATTTTCAGAAGCACCCTTGCAAGCATGCAGGATAAAGGTAAAAAGCCTGTGAACAATAAAGACTGAATTCAGCTGGTTTTATTTCTCCAAGCCTTCTACATTTGAAGGACATAAGCACTGGGTGTCCTATGCATGAGGCCCTCCCTCTCTAATGTTGTGCTCCTCATTTTTAATGTTGCACTGTGTTCTTTATTACCATATGTAATAGAGCTACTGAGCCATTTGAGGAAATTGATTTTAATTTTATTGCCTCTAAATACACTGTAGTTACAGGGCACTTTTGCGACTTCAGAATTTATTTTTATACGTGGTGAGCCATGTCTTTTTTTCTAAAGAATAGGAAGGCAATACTCGCAACATAAATATTCCAAATGCCTAGAAATGTTCCTCTCTCTCTCTCTCTCTCTCTCTCTCTCTCTCTCACACACACACACACACACACAACACACACACACACAATATACTGTATATGTGTGTGTATGTTTCTGTGTGTGAATGTGAGATAATTTTTTTCTAGGCATCTGGAATGTGTGTGTGTGTGTCTACAAATACACACACACAGAGAGAGATTGTGTGTGTGTGTGTGTGTGTGTGTGTGTGCATATGTGTAATCCACACACATACACACCAGGAAAAGTACAAATGAGACATAGTCTATCCAGGTGAAATAAAATGAGAGAGAAAATAGCCACTATGCCCCAAATAGTCATATACTCAAATTGAGAATTTAGAGGGGGGCAGGGAGATTCTACTTTAGGACAGGGATGGGGAACCTATGATCCCCCCAGATGGTGTTGGACTTTCGTCTGGTCCAGTAAGGGATTATTGGAGTTTCAGTTTAATAAAATCTTGTGGGCCATAAATTTCCCCATGTCTGTTTCAGGCAAAGATGGTGGTGGGTAGGATTTCATAAGAAAAGTTCAACTCTAGAGATGTACAGAACCACAATGGAAGCTATGCTGATATTTGAAAGGTTTAATTTCCCTCATGCATTTAATTTCCCTCATAACTCTAGTTGATGTCAGTAGAAATGGGTGGTGCCACTCCACTGAAACATTTCAAGCTTACACTGACAGTGTGACACACATTTAATTCATCACTGGATATTGTAGACAACAAGTGTTGAACCTCTCTGAAGCCATTTTGGGCTATCGGCACTGATGAAAGTGAATTGTGGCTTTTTCAAGCACTCCCAAAATATTATATATATACCATAAAATTCTGATGAGTAATGTTTTGCCGGTACTCCTTAATATCAGGCAGGAATGTCCTCTATCTGCCCATTCCTGTCTACTTTCACTAATGTCATAGGACAAAAAATATACCCAGGCATGGATCTGAAATCAGCTTTCAGTGACCATTTTGTTACTATTGGTGCTTCATCAACATATATTTTTATCTTGTATTATCTTCATTTGCACTCATGGGTGTTAGACAATTTCCCCCAAGCATTTGATAACTAAAGTAAAGTATTGTAGGTTTTTTTTTTTAATGGCGAAAACCACCTCCTGAAAACACTTTCCTTTTAGTATGTAAGAAAATGGATGACCTCCCTTTAAAGGGACCCACTGGTGAAACACTGATATTCTGCCTCTGCTGATATAGAGTTCTGGCACAGCATCACATCATGCTGCCATGATCACAGGAGCGATAAAGTGATCCATTCATATCTGAAGCTTATATATGACAGATAGTGCTTGTTCATAACTTGTTCATAAATAATCTGAAGCAGGGGTCAACAGGGAGGTAGCCAGGTTTGCTGATGAAGTCAAACAATGATAAAAACAAAAAGGGAATTGTGAAGCACTGCAGAGGGATCTCTCCAGGTTGCATGAATGTGCATTAAAATGGTGAATGTGGTTTAGGTGCACACTGAGGCAAAAAAATAGATAAATAAAATCCCTAGCTTCACATGTATGTTTACTGTTATGTACTGAAGTTCTCACCCTGGGCCAGCAGGGGGATACTGTAGATAGTTTTCACTCAGGTCCACATATGCAAATAAAGGATTGAAAGTGACGTTCAGTGATTGGATAGTTACGGCAAGTGGTTACTGTTGCGTTGTAGTGGAGCTCTATATAAGCAGGCTGGCTGAACACTTCAATTCAGTTCTGTTCTGGCCTGTGAATAAACAAGAGCTGTTTGAAGAATCGCTGTATCGTCTGATATGTTCACCCACAACTTAACATTTAGTGGTGTGAAAAGTCAGGGACTGACCAGTAAAGAGATATTAGGATTGAGATAGATGGTTTTGGTGACCATGACAGGGATCATCAGGAAAATAAAACTGCCAATATCATAATGCTGTTACACGAATCAATGGTGCAATTATATTTGGAATACAGATTCAGGTCTCTTATTCTCTCACACACCCTGAAAAACGAACAGAACAAGTGTAGGAGAAAGGCCCAGGAAAAGGTAGGCTTCCAATTATAACTTTAAAAATCTTGGTTTTGGTAGAACAAGTGCCAGCCACTGATGCTAGCTTACTCTAACAGTTTGTATATGTGCATCTAGATTGGTAATGCATTGACATGTATTTAACACAAGTGTGTGATTATACAGTTATGCACCTCAAGCCAATTGATGAAAGGTAATTCACAGGTTTTTTTTCATAGGTAACAATGGCACAGTGCGCTTTTATATCTCCTGTGTGGCCTTATAACAATTATCAGTATCGTTTTTTTTAAATTAAATGTAATAGGCATTTAACCATATGTGATTCCACAAAGGGGAATCATTAAATGAAAGAGGGGAAACAAAGACTGCTGCCCTGAAATGACTTTCTTGGAAGTAGTGACAATATAGGCAAGGCACAGATTAAAAAAACTAAGAGGTCTCTTTTTAAATGGTGATTCTAAATGGAAAGAAGCAAGGTTGCCCTTTCATAAGCTTTAGATCGCATTATAATGTTGCTCACAACAACCGAACAAATCAACCTCAACTGCCTTGCACTAAAAATATTTCACATGTTTATTTTTTTTCTTTTCCTATCTGGTTCTTGGCAAGGCACACACTTGGGCAGGCGAGGAAATTAGATATAATCATTAGATAATCATTGGTATAAGATGGCTCCTTTTCTATTGTTAATTTATACATAGCGTATGGATGCTTTTAATTTAGTCTGAAAATGAGGAGATTGCATTTGGGAATGGCTAGGAGATTAAAATCTTTGTATTGTAATGGAACGGGTTGTGTTTGCACAATTTCCCATTATCATTACAGTGTGAGTGGGTTCATGTTGATCCATATTCTCATCTCATTACAACTCTTGTCACAGGAATATATATCTCCCTCTTTCCCGGTGGCAGTCTGTCTGCCATCATAGACAGAGTGGGCCACTCTTGGTATTTTGCCTGTTGTCTGGAGCCAGTCCTATGACTCGTTACAATCTAGGAAGCAAGCCATTGTGAGCCACCTGTATATGTCTTTTCACACATTATATTCTTAGGTGTACACTTAAGATTTTAAAAATATTTTTAAGTAGACACGAGGCTGTGCAAAGTGTCAATGAATGCAACAGGCATGTGTATCACAGAAGTAAATTCGTTCATTCCTTTTGGCACAGTTGCTTTTTAAATAGATCTTCTCAGTAAAGGTAAAGGGACCCCTGACCATTAGGTCCAGTCGTGACCGACTCTGGGGTTGCGGCTCTCATCTCGCTTTATTGGCCAAGGGAACTGACGTACAGCTTCCGGGTCATGTGGCCAGCATGACTAAGCCGCTTCTGGCAAACCAGAGCAGCGCACGGAAACGCCGTTTACCTTCCCACCGGAGCGGTACCTATTTATCTACTTGCACTTTGACGTGCTTTTGAACTGCTAGGTTGGCAGGAGCAGGGACTGAGCAACGGGAGCTCACTCCGTCACGGGGATTCAAACCGCCGACCTTCTAATTGGCAAGTCCTAGGCTCTGTGGTTTAACCCACATTGCCACCCACGTCCCATCTTCTCAGTAGGTACCTGTATAAATGTAGGATTTTTGAAATTGTTGTTGTTTTGTGTCCCCTTGCCCTGGCACTCAGTGCAGGGGAACCTAAATCTGGTGCTGCACACACATACATACACACAGGACTTTGGGCAACACTGTGCCTGCTCTGATATAACCCTCTAACACTCTTCTGATGAAAATCAGGATCTGTGTATTTTGGTGATGGGCTACTGTGCAAGTGCACAGCATCACTGCAAATGTGAGCACTGGCTGCAAGTGTTGGGCACATCTTTTTCTTTTTTTAAAAATATTTATTGAAATTTTCAAAGTGTTACAACATAAAATAAAAGCAGAAGAAAATACAAAATAAAAATAGTTAACAAAGTAGGAAAAAACCCCCTTCCAACCATACAAATACAAATTCAAAAATAAGAAAAAAAGACAGAAGAAAAAAAAAATACAATTTAAGAACATTTAAAAACAAATTCATTATTCTCGAATCCTCAACTGTCATTACCTTCTTTCTTTGACCTCCTCCTCCTCCCTTTCTTTGTATCCTAGTTATTAATTATCCCAGCAAATCCTTTCCATATTTCATAATATTCTGTCATTACATTACCCTAAACAGTTTTAATCTTATCTTTCTATAAGAAAATAAACCTTAAAGCTTAAAACTTAAATCTTATCCTTACCAACTTCTCATAACCATAATATTCTTTCATAATTCTTTAAACATCTTTACTAAAGCCGAGTAATTTCATTCCAACATTTTTCTGACATTCATCAATTTTATAAAACAGTTCTAATGGTAGAAAAAAGAAATACAAACAGATCCAATCTTCATCCAACGTCCCTTCCTCCTGGTTCCGGGTTTTGTCAGTCCTTATTATCCCATCGATCTGGCCCATTAACCTGGCAACCTTATATCCGAGGCCCTCAAGTCTCTTCCATGTCCCTTTCGCAGCTCTTCTTCATATTTGTAACTGTATTTTCCCTTGTCTCCTGCTCATGGTAACTCCAGCTTGGCAATATTTTTGACCCTTCTCGACAGATCAGCCCCTTTTCCATATTCAGCACTGAACTCCATATGGTATTTAGAAGCATGTTTCAAAGACCCTCCAAAATTAAGAGCCCCCACAATCCCAAACATCTCACGGCCCATTGCCAGATTTGAAAAGTCCAAACATCCCAGCATAGGGGGGGTCAATCCAGCCCCCCATTTCCAAGCCAAACCAAACTTTTTCTTTCCAAATCTGGCTTTTTCCAAGTTCATTTGTCAAATCCGAAAACTCATATTCCTGTTGGGCCTGTTCTGTCAGGACACACTCCTGATTTAATTCCTGGGTGGGCTCCACATATTTTCCCACTGTCTGTTCAAAATTTCCCACTGCCTGTTCAAAATTTCTAGTCGAAGTCGTCATCAAATTCACCTTCTCATGTAACTGTTCCAGTAGGGCATTTGTTTTGTAGAAAGCACACAACAAAGCTTCTGAATACATTGTCCTGCAAGGTCAAATGCCTATTCCCACGATTGTAATCTGTAAACAGCTGCCGGCTCCCTGGAGTTGGTT